AGACACAAATGTAAAATACACGTGTGTAGCTGAACTTTTTTCCTAAACATGTTTCCCTTTGATAACTTATCGTGCATTTATAGTCCCATTATTTTTGAGCTAGTGAAGGTGTTTGTGAGCTTTCGGTAGAAAACAGCAACAACAGCAATACAGGATCAATGGCCCTGACCCGATTCGCCCACAGTGACTCGGCATTGCCAGCCCCCCCCCCCCCCCCATCACCGCTATATCAGTCTTTCATGATATTGTGTTCGTCGTAGTGAGTGTGCTCTAGGGCAAACCCCGCCCAGAAATGTTCCACTGACTAGGTCAGTCTCTCATCTTTTACGCCCGCAGTGAGAGTTCATCTCTCTTAACCCTCGCCCCGTTGGGGGGGGGGCCATTTTGGCCCCCCCCCTGTGGTTTTTCCTGAATAGCAAATTTTCAGTACCTTCCCGGGCATCAATTTGACACCTTCACACAAAATTTCAAGTCTTAGGTCACCTTAGGTCAGGAGTTATTGAGGTCAAACTGAGGTCATGTTCGAGCAAAAATGAGCAAAAAACATGCAATCTTGAAACGCTCACCAAATCTACAGTTATCAAGCAATTTTAAAGTTCTTTATATGGTCTAGTAGACAAAAAGCGGCGCTACAAAACTGCTATCTCGGATTTTCAAAATTTTGGGTTTTTGACCCCAAAAAAATAAAAAAAATTGATTTTTTTAGAAAAACTAAAAAAAAAATCCAAAATTTTTCCGAATTTCGAAACAAACCGGAATATATGTGATAGTCCCTGCGCTCTTCTATATACATACCAAATTTCAGATCGATATCTCGTTTTTTGGCCAAGTTATAGCAAAAAACTTCAAAAATGATGACGTCAAATTTTTGAACTCAATTTTTAGCGATTCTAGACCACGTACGGCAAAACAAAGACCACCATTGAACTCCCCGTGACGAGCTGCATCGATTCGATACCCATTTTATGCAAAAATATCAACTTTGAAATTTGACCTAATTTCACCTGACCTTGACCTGACCTTGACCAAAACGTGACCTAGACTGGCCCCAAAGGCTGCCTGACCCACATAATCGCATTTGTCATGTGAAATGGACCATAAAACATGTATCACACGACACTTTCATATTGTGACCCCCCAGTGACCTGACCTCTGTGACCTGACCTGGTATCAGTGACCTCAAATAGCAAAATATGTGTTTGAAGAACATTTCCCCATCGATGATTTTCAATGAAATGCATTTTACTCGATTTTACAACGCATTTCTTGAAATGCCTATAAACGGTGAAAATTGGACCTTTGACCTGACCTGTGACGTCATCGGTTTGACCTAGGTCAATAAAATTGGGTCACAAGGTAGTTCCCTGATAGGGCTATCCAACACCGTTTGCCGCTTGTCGCTAGGTTGCGTGGTTCTCGAGATCTTAGGGGGGGGGGGGCCAAAATGCCCCCCCCCCCAACGGGGCGCGTTGCTCGGCAGAGCCCAACGGGGCGCGGGTTAACCACTGCCACTGACCCGTGATTGACGGTGGAGCCGGCCAGTGCCTTGCGGGCGATATCTGTGGCGCGCCGCCAGCCGGCAATGATGTTCTGCGGGTGCAGCTTCATGCCGACCAGCTTCTCTGCCTCCTTGAGCAGCTCGGAGGCGAGCACCGTGACAGAGGTGGTGCCGTCGCCAACCTCGTCGTCCTGCACGCACGACATGTTGACCAGCACCTTGGCCGCCGGGTTATCGACGCCGATGTTCTTCAGGATGGTGGCGCCGTCGTTGGTCACCTCCACCTTACCTGCCCGAGCGAGAACGGCGCCGAAACGGTCAGACGTGATCGACAAGCATGACACAGCAGAAAGATAGCAACTATTTTGATGCATTATTGCGAACTCTTAAATGTAGGCAATTAGTTATTTACACCAAAATTTAGTTTTGGACCAGCCCATCTACCAAATCAGACAGCCAAACACGAAAATAATAAACATGATCACTGCCATGTAACACCACAGAGCCTCATGTCATCCTGACCGCATGCACCAGCGCATCACCGCAACAACTCACCTTCACTCCTGCCGACTGAGATCAGGATTTTGTCCATGCCCTTGGGACCGAGCGTGGACTTGACGAGATCGCCGATGGCGATCGCGCCGACGAAGCTGGAGAGCCGAGCGATCTCAGCCTTCTCCTCCTCGGCTCCGCCGCGCAGAACATGGACGGGGTTCAGCGAGGCCTGCAAGGCACGACAATGAATGTGTTTAACAATCAGTCATATGGGGTAGCAGTTCTAAGCTGTGAGAGAATCAGGGGAATCAAGGGAACCTGGCAACTCTGAATCCTGTAAAAGGTCGTGAATTGACTCAAGATCTTTGTCTGGATAGTGTTTTAATTTGTTCAATATGACTCAGACTCAATCCCACTGATAGAATGAACCACAAAAGGCTAAGTAATATCAGGCAAAGTTTCAAATTCATTATATGAGAAATTTATTCTTTTAGCCTGACAATGGTTTTGCCCTGGTAAGGTCATCTGGACCTGAGAAGAATAGGAGTGAGACAGAGAAACAAGCATAACACACCACCCTGTGAATTATTCAAGGGAGACTCAATTCAACCACTAGGTGACTGCAATGGTCCTGGTAATGCTTGACCTTATCTTTATCAACACCAAGATGCATGTCATGCCTAGAACCAGACTAGTCTAGTACTCCAATGCTTTAGCTTATCTCTACCTGAGTAGGTCAAAGAAAGAAGAAAAAACAATCAACTTGGTAATATGGTTTGATGTTTTGAGAAGCTAGTTGGCTCTTCGAATCTGATTTTTTTTCTCACTCTTTGGGACCAAAATTGAGGACCAAAATGACAATTCTTTAAAACTGCAAGCTTCTAAAATGAAAAGCTTTTATTCCAACCAATCCAGTAATACTCATACCAGATGTGAGCACCAAATAGATATTTTGTCTACACCAGCCCATCTGATTAAACCTAAACATGGGCAGCATTCTATTTCAGGCTCCACATTTCTGGTGATAATAATGCTAAAAATCTATACACTCAATTGGAGGCTGATCATAATTCTCAGGCCAGCTTTTTGAACAGAAAAGTTGCTGCCTGATTGTTCTTCATGGATTCATACATCTCAATCCCAATGCACAAAAGATAACCACATGCATAGACCACTATATATACCACTATATACATATACATAGACCACTATATAGATATATAGTGGTCTATGCCACATGCGATATCATCCATTGTGATTACCACTTTTTCACACCAGCAATTACTTCCTGAGCATGGATGAGCCTAGCTCTGTGCATTAGGACAGGCCATTTGTTGCATTTAAAGGAAATAGTTCACTTTTAACATGGGATTTTGAACTGGAATAGCAGTTTCGTAGCTTGAGCTGAGACTAGCACAAATCAGGAGCTTTTACGGCTCAACGATCACCCTAGACGAAGATATTCCATTTCTCGTTCCGAAAAGAGTGCCTTGCAGAGGAATGTGTGCCTTGCACAGGAATGCAGCCACGTCATCGTCAGCCAATCAGCATGCTGCTTACAGCTAATGCTGCTTACAGCATAATTCTCACACTGAAGAATTCCTCACTAAAACATCCATTCGGGTGACGCAAAATGCGAGGAATCCAGCGGGGTCAAGTGAAAGGAGCCATTTGATATACAACATGAGAGGAATCCAAGGGGATTCTGCGGCCCAGGTGGAAATTCCACAAAAAAACTGCCTGTCGGAACACACAAAAGATCAGTTGTACACAAAAATAAATGCAGCCAGAAATTTTCACATTAGTTAACATGGCCTCTGTTTCTCCAAACATCAATAATATTCCCCTCAGAAGGACTTACCATGATGAGAAGGTAAAAACTTAAGGTATCCTTGTGCGACAACGTCCCAAACTATGAGTATTCTGATTCTATTTACAACAAACTGGAAATTACCAGGATGGGATGGTTATCAAGAAATTACACTAGAAATTATAAATAAACCACCTAGAAGCCTTTGAACAAAAAGGAGTGCTTTTTATGCTCCTAAACCCCTCCTTGGAACATCCACGCCCAAATTCCAAAGTTTAGAGAACAATGCATGCCGGCTCGGCGCACACTACCAGTCACGCGCTATGCGCCATTTCGCCTTTCATTCTCAGTAAAAGTATGACATAAACACAGCTTTTTTTAACGCTGATTCGTCAATATGAGATATATGACGTAATATTTAAGAATTTTTGTATCAATCGAAGAATATAAGCGCGCCAATATCGTCGTCAGCGAAGCTTCTCGATGAATTTGGTTTCACTTATTTTTTCCCACTTTGCACTAAATTTGTTCCTCTTTTTACGGCAGTCTTTGATAGTTAAAAGGACACTTCTAATGAAATACCTATTTGTGCTTTTAGAATACTTGGCTTGAAAAGTCAGAATAATCATTCCAATAAATACTGTTGAATTATGTGCATACCAATTGTTTTGTCGTGGAACAATAGCCCGGTTTACATAGCATTTTTGACGAGGCTCTAGCTCGTTAATTTGGCGATAATTTCGATGCAGTGGTCTTCAAATATTTAGAGGGGATCATTTTGTAAATTGTTAAGCACCATTGGCATCTTTTGCAACATCACGGACGGAGATATAAGCTTGCAACAAACCCTATGTAAACCGGGTTAATTGTATTTAAACTCGCACAGAAAATAAACCGACTTTGCAAAAACAGCACTCGGCGGCCGCCCCACGCCGCTCCCTCACGCACTCACTGCCGCCGACGACTCGCCGCTCATACATTTTCCACAACAAATACCAGCCGCACGCGATAACTCGCACGCGCGCTCTGCACCGGACGCGCCTCCGCACAGCGGCAACTACACCTCCCCCTGATCCTGAGGATCATTTACATCTCTCACAGAAACATCCTTGCGGAGGACGGCGGGTGCGCTGACTTCGCCGAGGAGCCACGGCAGGAGGCTCCGGCGCTGGAGCGTCGCATAACTCCGGCCCCTGCTCAACTGGAGCCGGCTGGAGGACTGGGAGAGACGGGGGATCCATCACGTAGATGGGGTCGTCCGCGTCAATTTCAGCACATGGGGGTGGCTCACTATTTCTGCGCCGCCGCAAATCCCTGACGTGTCGTGGCATACCGTCCACATCGACAACCTGCGGAGAGACCACCGCCGTGACGGTACCTCGGCGGGACGGCTCCGTGCAGCGCGCCCCCCGTCGGCGCACCCACACCGCGTCTCCGACCGTGTATGGGCCCGTCTCCACCGCAGGGAGCTCCCGCGCCCCGGCACCACCGTCCGCGGCCGTCCCTGGCGGAGCAGCCGGCAACCGCACACAGTCACTCGGCTCGTACCTGTACACGCCACAAAACGGGGCGCTGGCCACCGCCTCGCCGTCACGCGGCGTCACATTATACAAGTGCACCGCCTCGGCGATATCGCACCGTTTCCGGGCGGCGATCACTTTCACTGTCCGGTGGCAGCGCTCGATGACACCGTTCCCGCTCGGTGCATGGGCCGCCCGGAACCTCACCGCCACTCCCCAGCGCGCGGCGAGCACGGCAAACGGTCGGCCGCGGAACACAGGATCGTTATCACACAACAGCTCCGCCGGAGCTCCTCGATCAAAAAATATCTCCTCCAGCCGCTGAATAACGCACACACTGTCCTGCCGTCGCAGCGGCCGCCACACAGTGAACCGCGACGGCCCGCAGTCGATTACACTGAGGTACGGATGGCCCCCATAATGAGTTATATCAATGGCCAGTCTGTGCCACGTCTGTGGTACACCCAACGACCCGTGTCGCCACTTTACTGGAGCCGGGTCGATCGCTCGACAGACATCACAATTTGTCACCACAGCGCGTACCTGGTCTCTCGAGACGCGGCCGATACATCGGCGAGCAAAATACAATGTCCGTCGGACGCCCGGATGACCAGCTCGCTCGTGCACTTCAGCCACGCTCTCTGCGCCATCGAGGCTCGCGTTTACAGCGTTCGGCTCGTCCGCTGTGGCCGCGCTTACTGCCGACGGTTCACCCACCGCGGCTGCGCTCACTGCCGGCTCGCCCGCGGCAGCTACTCCCACTGCCGACGGCCCGCCCGCTGCGGCCGCGCTCACTGCCGCCGCGCTCACTGCCGACGGCTCGCCCGATGCAGCCGCGCTCACAGCCGCCGTGCTCACTGCCGACGGCTCGTCCGATGTAGCCGCGCTCACAGCGGCCGCACTCACTGCCGACGGCTCGCCCGCTGCAGCCGCGCTCACAGCGGCCGCGCTCACTGCCGACGGCTCGCCCGCTGCAGCCGCGCTCACAGCGGCCGCGCTCACTGCCGACGGCTCGCCCGCTGCAGCCGCGCTGACAGCAGCTGCGCTCACTGCCGACGGCTCGCCAGCCGCGCTCACGGCTGCCGCGCTCACTGTCGTCGTCAGATCGTCTCGGAGCCACTCCCTGGGCACTCGAGTCAGTGCGTCAGCGCGATTATCCGCCGATCGAACGAGCGCCACGGTCAGACGGAGCTCCAGCTCGATGACCAGCTGACGGATAATCGCCACACGCCGCCGGATGAGCAGCTCACCGCTGGCTTTAGTACGGAGGCGCGCGCGGCCACTGATCGCGTCGTCGATCCACCGCTTCACCGTCACCGAGTCGGTTCGGAGGTCGATTCTCCGTGCGCCCCACGCAACAGCCAAGTTGATGCCTCGAATAGCGGCATCGAGTTCGGCCATATTTATGTGTACAGCGTCGTCTCGCCTGAGCCAGCATGCGTCCTCGATCACCTCACCGTCTGTGTTTTCCAGGACCACTCCGGTGGCCAGCGAGCTGGCGTCTGTCCAGGCGACCACCTCGTCCCCGTCGACACACCACACGCCACGGGCCGGGTCGTCACTGGCGAGGCGACTCGCGATACAGTCCATCTGCACGCGCAGCGCGGAGTCATCAGTGATGTCGTCCCATCCGCGCGTCAGCTCATTTACACGCCGCTTAAGCCATGCAACCGCGGGTCGAAGCCACCCACACACTGGTACGTGGGCCACTAGCTGTCCGCACCACGCGAACACAGACCGGCGAGTCACACGTTCTGGCGGCGCGCTCACGGCATTGTCCCGCTTCCACCGCAGCTGTCCGTTCTCCTCGTGCACCCGCAGGCCCAGGAGCCGCGCTCCACTGGCCGCCCGCTCCGGCGGCTTACAGTCCAGCCCAAACTGCGCGAAATGCGCCACCACGCGCTCGGCACTGACAATGTCCTCATTTACAAGGAGATCGTCCACATATGGGAGGACGGCACGCCCGATGTCGGGGTCCTGATCGAGCACAGCACGTACGACAGCCTTCATCACGAGGGGCGCGATATTCAAACCAAAACCTAGGCGGGTCAAGCAGAATCGCTGCCCCCGCACCATCACCGTCTGAAACGGCCAGAGTCGCTCCTCCAGGTGCAGCTGGAGGTAGGCACGCTTCAGGTCCACGACCGCCACATTTGCGCCGTGCCGGCGCCACTTGCGGAGCTGTTCCGCGCACACGTCGCTGTCAGCTGTGTGAGGCTGCACAAAGTCATTCAGTTCCCGGTAGTCCAGCACCGGTCGAACTTTCCCCCGATTGCGCTGCTCCACAGCCATTAGCGGCACCAACCCTTTCGGCGGCCCCTGCCGCCGCTCGTCATACGGCACGAGCCACTCCCGCTCTATCCAGTCGTCAAGTTCTGTCTCGAACTCGTGACGAGCGGCGGGCGGCACAGCATACTGCGGCACAGCGTTCGTGAGGCACTGGGGTCCTATTCCATCAGACCATTTCCATGCAACCGACCACTTCCGGTCAGCCGCGTTGAACTGCACCCGGAAGTCCGGCGTCTCAATGTCTGGCGGCGCACGGCACACTGCTCCACAGAACCGCACCACAGAGGGGGACAGCACCGTCACGCCCCCGAGAGCCGAGATACCGCTGACCCCGAGCACCATATCCACGCCGAGCGGCCGCTCCTCCACCACCAGCGTTTCAAGCGCGGCACGATGGCCCGTCGGCGCCTCCACCGTTACACTGCCAATGCCGCTGCATTTCAGGTCGTCGCCGCTGATCGTGGTGACGCGCACCACCCGTCGTCTCCACTGCGCACAGAATGGCGCGTAGATGATGGTGTCGGTGCTCCCGGTGTCGATGAGGACCGTGCACTCTCGTCCGTCCACGTGCAGGCGTGTAATCGGCAGCGCACCGCTCACTGTCGCGCAGGAGAGAACGGCGGTGCTGACCCGTCCCCTCCGGCCCAGTTTTCCGACCGACGCGGACATCTCGCAGCGATATGCCCGGGCTCTCCGCAGGTCCAACATCTCAGCGGACGCGGCACGCGCGGAGGCCGTCCACGCGTCGGCACCGGCGGCTGGCCGGGACCAGGCGCCGCAGGTGGGTGGCTAGCCGGCGGCGGCACAGTCCGACGCGCCGCTGCTGCTGCTGCGGAGAGCCGCTCGTCGGTCAGTACAGCGCGAGCGCGCGCCAGCACCGACGACAGGTCCAGTCCATCTGCCCGGCAGCCAGCACGGATCATCTGCCGGACGCTGTCCGGCAGGCCTGCCACGAATGCGCATGCCAGCGCTCGCTCCGGCACTCCTCCGAACAGCGCCGCCAGCCGGCGGAGGTCTGCGAGGAATACGTCCGCCGACTCTCCTGGCATCAGTCGCCGAGCGGCGAACGCTTCATAGGCGGCGTACTCATCGAGAGCAAACGCCGCCTGGAGGGCGTCTCTCACGGCCGTCAGCGAGCAGCGACTGGCCGCCGGCAGCTGGGACCATACGTGGAAAGCACCGCCAGCGAGGCGCAGAGGAATCACAGTCTCGGCGGCCACTCCCCTCAGCTGGCACAGCATCTCAGCACGCGCCAGCCAGCTGACCACATCTTCGGTCCCGTCAAACTCCGGTATCAGCCGCGCATCAAAAGGTGCCGAAGGTACCGCGACCACAGGCTGTGAGACGGGTGCCGAGTCTGGCACACCACCATCACCAACCGGCACCGGCGCTGTCACCGGTCGCGGGACGATTGTCGGCGCCACTGCACTTGCCATCACCGGAACCTGGTCCAATGACACTGTCACGTTCGTCGCCATAACGCCGAAATAGCTTGTATTTAAACTCGCACAGAAAATAAACCGACTTTGCAAAAACAGCACTCGGCGGCCGCCCCACGCCGCTCCCTCACGCACTCACTGCCGCCGACGACTCGCCGCTCATACATTTTCCACAACAAATACCAGCCGCACGAGATAACTCGCACGCGCGCTCTGCACCGGACGCGCCTCCGCACAGCGGCAACTACATTAATTATAGTGATTTAAAGGGATCCTCCCACCTTAACATTAGTTTTGAGTTGAGATAGCCAAGTTTGCGGCCAGGCTCAGAAACCACCATTTATCCTGGTCGCAACCCCCGCAGCTTTATGGTGTTCAAGAAATTTCTTCCCTTTACTTGCAGGGTGGGACCAGCGTGGTCCCTATCTCTTAACCATTACGGGAATCTGATGACGTCATCAGGATTTCGAACGTCCGTTAAATGTTTGACTAAAACGTTTTGTAGCAGGCGGTGGTATATGCTGCGTTGCGCGCAGCAAATGCCGCACTTTTAAATAAAGTCGCTAGGAACAGCGGAGATCCCAAAAAGTAAACAAAAGTAAAAGTCTAATATCTTGAAAACCGGTGAATATTTTTCGGTGAAATTTGGTAGACATTCGTTTTCGCTCTTTCTGAACCGAGCGACATCACTTTCATGCCAATTCATAAACTTTTTTGAAGGTGGGAGGGTCCCTTTAATAGAATTTCGGAGGAGGAAACACATTGCGTGCTGGCCTTAACCCGAGCTCTGTTCGCACCCCGTTTATTTATCAGCAGACTTATGACGTCGGCGGTCGATTTACGTCACGGGGACATGACGTCATCACTGCAAGCTACGTGCTACGTGAAAGAGACATATATGATGCTGTACTGACATTGGTGGCGCACATCAACAAATGCTCTCCCGCGCTGTTTTGTCAAGGCCGTATTGTTTTGTGTGTTTATTGTTTCACATAGGTATGTTGTGATTATATTCGGTTTTGAAAATTTATTTTTTTTGTGTTATTTAATTTTATATGCAGTTTATTTGTTCAGCCATAGGTGACAGGCATAGAACGTTCATTTTCTATTTGTAAACGATTTTACCCAAGATACCTATAATAAACAGGTAGATCCGATGTTTTGAGTAAAGCCCTGGTGACGTCACTGATATTTCTTATATGGAGAATTTCACCCGTAAGGAAAATATTTTACATACAAAAATTTGTATGCTATTAGGAAGAAATACAATCTTTCAATTCCACCATGAAAATTATAAAATTTAATTAATAAACGCGAAATCCTTTGAGTGTTTGTCCCAACCCCCTGTTATACCTTTGGTCACGTGACTACCATGATACACTTTGCATTTTACAAGGTTATGACTTAAACGGAAGTAATAAATGCTGCAAATGTATTATTTATGATGTTTTAGGCAGCAATCGTGTGAATATATCCTGAAATTATCAATAATCTGCTGAAAAGAAGTCACGTGATGTTACCAGATTGTGCTCGGACAGCATCTTCTTGAATTTCGATTTTGAGTACTTTGTACCTTCATTGAGGCCTAATAACGGACGTTTTTAGTTATAAAATGAAGCACTGAGTCTAATGAGGGCAAAATTTATTCAGTTTTGCACTTTCAGGCCGGGCTATCCTGGCATGAACTTCGGCAAGTTTGTGTGTAAAGCCTATGGTGAAGGGAAAACTTCACGCCCGGCTGACGTCACAGACCTCGGCTACCAAATCGTGTCCGGTGGGGGCTGATTTTACCTGCGTTTTTGTTTTTGTTTTGGAGTACCTACTTCAACGTCTATCAATTCAGCAGCAACGAATATCAGCCTCACAGCAGCATATTTCGGGGTCTTTCGATTTGGCTAAAAATCGGTATACATGGCCTCCTCGATGCGCTGATTCCGAAAATGTACCTCTTTGGGGTGGTATTTTGCACCGTTAACGAGTTAACGGCCATTTAACATTTTAACGGGAAACGGCGGGGTCTTTCGATTTGGCTGAAAATCGGTATACAGGGCCTCCTCGATGCGCTGATTCCGAAAATGTACCTCTTTGGGGTGGTATTTTGCACCGTTAACGAGTTAACGGCCAGTTAACATTTTAACGGGAAACAGCGGGGTCTTTCGATTTGGCTGAAAATCGGTTAAAAGGGCCTCCTCGATGCGCTGATTCCGAAAATGTACCTCTTTGGGGTGGTATTTTGCACCGTTAACGAGTTAACGGCCATTTAACATTTTAACGGGAAACGGCGGGGTCTTTCGATTTGGCTGAAAATCGGTATACAGTGCCTCCTCGATGCGTTGATTCCGAAAATGCACCTATTTGGGGTGGTATTTTGCACCGTTAACGAGTTAACGGCCAATTAACATTTTAACGGGAAACGGCGGGGTCTATCGATTTGGCTGAAAATCGGTATACAGGGCCTCCTCGATGCGCTGATTCCGAAAATGTACCTCTTTGGGGTGGTATTTTGCACCGTTAACAAGTTAACGGCCATTTAACATTTTAACGGGAAACGGCGGGGTCTTTCGATTTGGCTGAAAATCGGTATACAGGGCCTCCTCGATGCGCTCATTCCGAAAATCTACCTCTTTAGGGTGGTATTTTGCACCGTTAACGAGTCAACGACCAAATAACATTTTAACGGGAAACGGCGGGGTCTTTCGATTTCGCTGAAAATCGGTATACAGGGCCTCCTCGATGCGCTGATTTCGAAAATGTGCCTCTTTGGGGTGGTATTTTGCACCGTTAACGAGTTAACGAACCGTTAACAATTCAGCAGCATATATCGATTTCAGCAGCAAATTTTTGGGGTCTTTCGATTTGGCTGAAAATCAGTATACAGGGCCTCCTCGATGCGCTGATTCCGAAAATGTACCTCTTTGGGGTGGTATTTTGCACCGTTAACGAGTTCACGGCCATTTAACATTTTAACGGGAAACGGCGGGGTCTTTCGATTTGGCTGAAAATCGGTATACAGGGCCTCCTCGATGCGCTGATTCCGAAAATGTACCTCTTTGGGGTGGTATTTTGCACCGTTAACGAGTTAACGGCCAGTTAACATTTTAACGGGAAACAGCGGGGTCTTTCGATTTGGCTGAAAATCGGTATACAGGGCCTCTACGATGCGCGGATTCCGAAAATGTACCTCTTTGGGGTGGTATTTTGCACCGTTAACGAGTTAACGGCCATTTAACATTTTAACGGGAAACGGCGGGGTCTTTCGATTTGGCTGAAAATCAGTATACAGGGCCTCCTCGATGCGCTCATTCCGAAAATGTACCTCTTTAAGGTGGTATTTTGCACCGTTAACGAGTTAACGAACAAATAACATTTTAACGGGAAACGGCGGGGTCTTTCGATTTCGCTGAAAGCCGGTATACAGGGCCTCCTCGATGCGCTGATTTCGAAAATGTGCCTCTTTGGGGTGGTATTTTAAACCGTTAACGAGTTAATGGCCATTTAACATTTTAACGGAAAACGGCGGGGTCTATCGATTTGGCTGAAAATCGGTATACAGGGCCTCCTCGATGCGCTGATGCCGAAAATTTACCTCTTTAGGGTGGTATTTTGCACCGTTAACGAGTTAACGAACCGTTAACATTTCAGCAGCATATCGATTTCAGCAGCAAATTTTCGGGGTCTTTCGATTTGGCTGAAAATCGGTATACAGTGCCTCCTCGATGCGCTGATTCCGAAAATGTACCTCTTTGGGGTGGTATTTTGCACTGTTAACGAGTTAACGGCCATTTAACATTTTAACGGGAAACGGCGGGGTCTATCGATTTGGCTGAAAATCGGTATACAGGGCCTCGTCGATGCGCTGATTCCGAAAATGTAGCTCTTTGGGGTGGTATTTTGCACCGTTAACGAGTTAACGGCCATTTAACATTTAAACGGGAAACGGCGGGGTCTTTCGATTTGCCTGAAAATCGGTATACAGGGCCTCCTCGATGCGCTGATTCCGAAAATGTACCTCTTTGGGGTGGTATTTTGCACCGTTAACGAGTTAACGGCCAGTTAACATTTTGACGGGAAACAGCGGGGTCTTTCGATTTGGCTGAAAATCGGTATACAGGGCCTCCTTGATGCGCTGATTCCGAAAATGTACCTCTTTGGGGTGGTATTCTGCACCGTTAACGAGTTAACGGCCATTTACCATTTCAACGGGAAACGGCGGGGTCTTTCGATTTGGCTGAAAATCGGTATACAGGGCCTCCTTGATGCGCTGATTCCGAAAATGTACCTCTTTGGGGTAGTATTTTGCACTGTTAACGAGTTAACGGCCATTTAACATTTTAACGGGAAACGGCGGGGTCTTTCGATTTGGCTGAAAATCGGTATACAGGGCCTCCTCGATGCGCTGATTCCGAAAATGTACCTCTTTAGGGTGGTATTTTGCACCGTTAACGAGATAACGACCAAATAACATTTTAACGGGAAACGGCGGGGTCTTTCGATTTGGCTGAAAATCGGTATACAGGGCCTCCTCGATGCGCTCATTCCGAAAATGTACCTCTTTAGGGTGGTATTTTGCACCGTTAACGAGTTAACGACCAAATAACATTTTAACGGGAAACGGCGGGGTCTTTCGATTTCGCTGAAAATCGGTATACAGGGCCTCCTTGATGCGCTGATTTCGAAAATGTGCCTCTTTGGGGTGGTATTTTGCACCGTTAACGAGCTAACGAGCCGTTAACATTTCAGCACCATATATCGATTTCAGCATCAAATTTTTGGGGTCTTTCGATTTGGCTGAAAATCGGTATACAGGGCCTCCTCGATGCGCTAATGCCGAAAATTTACCTCTTTAGGGTGGTATTTTGCACCGTTAACGAGTTAACGAACCGTTAACATTTCAGCAGCATATGTCGATATCAGCAGCAAATTTTCTTGGTCTTTTGGTTTGGCTGAAAATCGGTATACAGTGCCTCCTCGATGCGCATCGAGGAGGCCCTGTACACCGATTTTCAGCCAAATCGAAAGACCCCAAAATTTTGCTGCTG